CAGCCCTAGAAGGTATCCAAAGAGCAAGGGAGTTGAACATCAGATGTTTGGTTCTTGAAGGTGACTCGGAGGTGGTGATTAGGTGGCTAAAGGGGGGAAGCAGCGGATTATTCTTTTGCTGAGTAGGGATGTTGTGGTTCATTACAACTAGGTGAAAAGGACTGCTAATTCTTTTGCTGATGGGTTAGCAAAGCAAGGGGTGGATAGGGTTTCGACTTTTTGGGCTAATTTTTGAAATTTCCTTGTATTCTTTGGTGGGGAGTCAAGTCTTTTTACCTCCCCTTTGTACCTAAGCTTCACATAGTTTCATATCTTTAATAAAGTTTCTTGTTATTGATCAAAAAAAAAAAGGGGGGGAGGGGTAGTTGCCTAGTAGCGTAGGTTCTTGAGGGGTTATGCTGTGTGGGGTGTTGTGGGGTCTCTCTCCTCATCAGTTCTCAAGGATCGAGCAGTTGGACTGAGTCTTTTTGTCTATTTTGGGATGGTAGTTTCTCCCGGTGGTTTTGTTTCTTTGTGGATTTCTTATCTTTTTTTGTTGGGGTATTTGTTATATGCCCATTGGCATATTGCTCATTAAGTTAATGAAATCTAGGAGATCTTACCATGATTGGTAGTTTAGCTACAGTGGATTCCTAAGGAGCTGAACTCTGCAGCTGATGGTCTTGCTCAATCCAGCACCGCTATAGATTTTCGTAAATTGACAGCTTATTGCTTGTCTAGTTCTTTGTAAAAAATGAGCTTACGAGCTATCTGTCCATGGGTCTTGTGCAACATTTTAGATTATACATCCTTCCAGAGACTTTCTCCTTTTCACATGGTGCAATAAATACTATTATCTTGTCCTTTTTTGCCAAAGAAAATCATATGAATAACTTTGTTTGTGCCAGGTTGACTAGATCAGTGATGCCTATTTTACTGGTGATAATGAAATTCCTTTGCTCATTGCTAATCATCTAAAAAGAGAAAATTGGCATTGCAGATATTTTTCTCTACTTTTTTTCCTGCTGACATTTATGTCTCATCTTCTTACCTAGTAGATCAGTGGTGCCTATTACTCTCAAGTGGTAAGAAATTTGGCTAGGGAGCTAAGATTGTCATTCAAGTGGATTGATAGATTGGCTAACAGCTAGGCAAGGAGTGAGCAGAAATCAGTTGTATTGAGGGGTTATATTACAAGAAGATGGGATGATATAAATGTAATTGAAGGGGTCTATCAATAGGGATATTCTCATTGTACACACTTCATTTTTTCTTGACAAATTAATAGAACTGAACAGTTTCCACCAAAAAGAAAAAATCTTCTCAAGTGATTTATAATGGAGCACTTAATAATGTTCCTGTGTTTTCAAGTGAAGGAAAATTTTGTGACAATATACCATATGACCTTTCAAGTTAAAGAAAAAATTTATTCTAAGATGAAATATGTAAGTGATTCTGATGTTTACATGTTTATGTTTTGGCTTCTGAAGCCCAGGCCTTCTGCACTTGAGAATTCTGGAGTTGTCTGATACTGAAGTTGGGAGCAATGGGCTGCGCCATCTATCTGGTTAGATAACATCTTTCCATATATAGGATATGAGTACCCCCTGCTTACAATGTCACTTTTAATTTAATGTGGTGTTAGTTTCGTGCTTTGGTATTCTGTGATGGCCTTTAGTTTTACTGATCAGAGAATTTGAATTTTTTACATTCAATATTAACATTGGGGAGGTGCTTGTAAAGCATTAATTGTTTGTGTAAATTTGAGTTTGTGAGCTGCTTTTGAGCTCTCCACACAACATCATTTCTCTAGCCTTGGTTTTGATTCAACTATAACTTTATGTGGAGTTGTATCTTGCTACTTGTGTTTTTCTTCTCTTTCTGCTTGCTTATCTCACCGTATTTATGTTTCTCGTTAACTATCATTTAATGGGAACCTAGAGGTAGGTCCAATAGGTGACAAGTTGAGGAAATTTTGCCTGTGGTTGCTTTATCCTGTTCATATAGGGCCACCAATTACAGAAGCTAAGTGATGGCCGAAATGTTCACTACTAGGTCCACATCATGATTCCAGCAAACTCACTACTCACTTCTTTTAGGTCCATACTCCTCATAACTTTGATGAAGCTCCAGATTCTACTTTTAGGAAGCTCTATTTCTGTAGAAGTCTTAGATCAGTAAATTGTAGATTAGAATTCTTCAGTTATAGTTGGAAATTTTTGAAGGGTATTTGGTTCATAGAAACAACATATAAATAATGCAATATTCTTCCAACTATTTAAGCAGTGTAGTATAACATCTATCTTTTTTTTTTTTCTTTGATAACTAGTGTTAACATGTATCAAAGCATTCTTGAGCTCATTATAGATCTCAAATCATTGTATCAACTATCAAATTACTTTCAACCTATTTTGGGTCTCAAATAGCTTTGGTTGAATGATCCATTGATGTTCTGCCATCATATCCAAGAGACTAGATTGTTAGCATGGCAGATGAGCCATCTGATTTGGTTGGACCTAGAGGTGATCATTCTTGTCTGGGCCTGGCTTGACCTGCAATATAATATAATATACATAATACTTTCATATTATAATATATTATATTATGTATTATATATATAATATTATCTGTATTATATCTTTATTATATATTGTATATGTAATATACTAATATATATGCATGTATATTTTATTTTATTTTTATAAAACTGTTTTTGATGAATAACTTGTAACTTTCATTAAGATAAGCTCTCTTAACTCCCCCACCAAAAGACAAAACAAACAAAGAAAACAAGATTACAAATGAGCCCAAAACATAGAGTCCCTAGTCACCCCTTGTTTGGATAACCCATCAGAAAAGGAGTTAGCACTTCTTTTTACCCAGTTCAATTTTATTTCAATATCCTTAGTCAGCCACTTAAATTTCCTCTTCTCATTACTATAGTTCCAGAGACCAGCAGAGTCTTCATTCAGCCAGCCCACCACTAGTTTATAATCTCCCTCTATGACCAGTTTAGTGATGTTCAGCTCTTTAAAACCTTTGAACTCCTTCCAAAACAGATGAAAAATCAGCCTGGAGAGAATAACCCACTCCAATTGGTCCAGAAAAAAGAGCAGTTACCATACCCTCCTCATTTCTTAGAACACCCCCAATACCTGAGAGACCTGGATTTCCAATGCTATTTCCATCAAAGTTTAATTTGAAGAAACTACTAGAAGGAGGAGTCCAAGTAGGTAGAGGAATGTCCTTAGCTGGAGCTGAGCTTGCAATTTCCTTCTAATTTCTAATCAAATCAGCCGCTGTAAAGTCTTTAAACAGCTCCAGAGACTTGAGCCAATGCAACACTCTAAAATGGACCACCTCCAGAACATCTTGTAGACTTCTTCCTCTATCTGAAAAAACTCTCTAGTTCCTTTCTTCCCAGATAGTCCAACACACAGCAGCCCTGACACATCTCCACATGACTCTTCCTCTTTTCCGTGGCCAACTAAATAAAATATAAAACTTCTAACATATAAATACTCATTAGTTGACACATGCCAACTCATGTGCCAACACGAGTTAACTCAACTATGAGAATTGTCCTCCTAGGCAAGGCCTTCATTCCCATTTCTAAGCAATGGTGGACTTGGGACAACACTCAATGGTAACACTCACTATTGACTGTTGTTCCAAGTCCCATATTGCTCAACAATGGGAATGAAGGCCTTCCCTTCATCTACAAAAGGATAGATAAGCCAAGCCAAATTAAGTCTAGGAATTAAATGAGGACCATGCCTTTTTTTTTGTGCCACAGGCCCAAAGCCTAGCCTAGCTTGAGCTTGTGCAATATTTTTTTATGTATTATATGTGATGTAATTTAAAATTTTATAAATAATTAAAATTTTCATTAGATGACATGGGCCCAAATTTGGCCTAACTTGGCCCCATGGTTTTCTGGTGCCAATGTGAGGCTAGGTGATAGGGGGTGCCTTGTTGCCTTGCCTAGTCATCTAGGTGATGGGATTTTTTTGAATAAAAAGTGTGAATCCTAGGGTAATTCCCCAGGTTCCATATCAAGCAGCAACATCTTTCGCTATTGTTTATAATCTTCATAAAAAATGTATAAACATTATTTAAAACATAGAAAATCATCATATTCATGAAAAAATGGAAGAAAATAAATTTCAGAAAATAGAGGGGCTGAGCCTCTATTTTTTGTCCTAGGAAAAGAAGAAAAGAAAAGAAAGGAAGAAGAAAATCAATTTGTGTTGATTGGACAACATTTTGAGTTCTTCCATTCTTATTAGCTCAGGCTTTGAAGTTTTTGACGGTTCAAGATAATATACATCTTAATTGAACCCTAACAAATTAAAAAAACAATAAAAGGAAACTAGTATTTTAAATCAAACTGAATAATTTAGTTTAATAATGTACATCTTATTATTATAATCTTAGAAAGTTAAGAATATAAAAGTATCTAAGAGCACCGTGTAAAATATATCTTGGCAATTAAGTGAGGTGATCCTCCATGGGCACCTTATCGCCTAGGTGTCACTCTACATGTTAACCTACCTTGGTATTACCTGATTGTCATAATTAGGTACTATACCATAGAGTTAGTCTCTATTTATGATAGTGGGTTGTTCTTGTATCATTTGGTATAGCAATAGTATACATGCCTTGTGTAGGTTATTTGGTTTTTTATTTGATTGATGGTAGCATGTTTGTGTTTAACTGGATGGTCACAAGAAATTGTTGTGGCTGTGCTCTCATGAAAAGTAAATCACCTAGGCATGCACTCACTGGGTGATTTGATTTATCCTTTGACTTTTAGCGTGTTTGGGTTTTTTTAGAGGCCACAAGAAAATGTTATGATTATGTGAACTCATTGTTCCACATGTTAGGCTAGCTTCGTATTTTTTTATATTCCTAGTAAGGTAGTTGATCTTTATTTTTGATCAACTAGCAAGGTAGTAGATCCTAGAGGTAGTCTCAATTTTTTCATATGATAGTAGGTAGTTTGTATATCACTTTGGGTAGCAACAACAAGCATGCACTCACTAGGTAATTCTGTCTTTCATTTGATGGATAGAATGTCAATGTTTTATTGGAGAGGTGCAAGAAAATGTTGTGACCGTGTGGACTAATAGAAACTAAATCATCTAGACATGCATTTGCAAGGTGATTTGGTTTTAAATTTGATTATTAGCATTTTAGTGACTTATTGGAGGGTCACAAGAAAGTGTTGTGACCATGTGAACTCATTGAATTCAAACCACCTAAGCATGCACTCACTAAATGATTTGGTTTTTCTTTTGACTGTTAGTGTTTTACTGGAAGGTCACAAAATGTATTCTGACCACGTGAACACATCACAACACATGGTAGTCTCTATATATTTTTATGTCATTTTGGGGTAGAAAAAAGGTATGCACTCATTGGGTTATATGATTTTTCATTTGATTGTTAGCATGCCTATTTTATTGTAGGGTTCCAAGAAAGTTTTGTGACCGTGTGAACTTATCAAAATCAAATTACCCAAGCATATACGCATTTCAGTGATTTGGTTTTTCATTTGATTGATAGCATGCTTGTGTTTCATTGGACAGTCGGATCAAAGTGGTGTGGTTGTTTGAACTAATCATTCAACATGTTAGGCTATCCTGGTATTTCTAAATTGTCATAGTCAGGTAGACCCTAGAGGCAATCTCCATTTTCTCATATGTTAGCGGGTTGTTAGTGTGTCATTTGGGGTAGCAACAACAGGCACTCACTAGATAGTGGATAATTTGGTTTTTTGCTTCATTAATAGCATATTTGTGTTTTATTAAAGGGTTGCAAATGTTGTGACCATGTGAATACATTGAACCAAATCACCCAGGTAAGTACTCACTGGGTGATTTATATTGGAGGGTCTAAAAGAAAGTGCTGTGGCCATGCCTACTCATTGCTCCACATGTTAAGCTATCTTTGCTTTTCTTGATTGTCGAAGAAAGGAAGTGAACCTTAGAGGCATACATTTCAATGTATCAAGGTTATGCTAGGTGATAGGGGGTGCCCTATCACCTAGTTGCCTAGGCAATGGCTTTTTGTTTTCTGAATAAAAACCATGAACCCTAGGACAATTCCCTAGGTTCCATAGCTAACACCGACCATCTTTCATTATTAATTGTTTACGATCTCTGAAAAAATGTATAAAATTCATTTAAAACATAAAAGATAAGCGTATTCATGAAAAAAATGGAAGAAAGAAAAGAAATTTCAGAAAATAGAGGGGCTGAGCCTCTATTTTTGTCCTAGGAAAGGAAGGAAAAGAAAGGATGAAAGAGGATGAAGAAGAAGAAATATTCAATATTTGTTGGACAAAATTTTGAGTTCTTCCATGCTTATTATCTCAGGTTTTGAAGTCTTCCAAGGGTTCAAGACACTATACATGTTGGTTGAACCCTAACAAATAAGAAAAATAATAAAATGAAATTTGTATTTTAACTCAAATTGAATAATGTTTTGAGAAAATGATAACTTTTATTGCAAAAGAAAGGGGAAGGATGTGCAAAAGCTTAGCAAGGCTATCCTCACACTATTAAGCTCTTAGACCATGATATCACCCCTAGTTGGACACTTGGACCCCATGATCAGTGAATTCTGTGGCTGACAGTTTTGTTAGAGTAGACATATCTGGTTCTTATCTGAAGGTTGATTCTTATAATGATTAACCATGGGTTTGATTTGTTGTTTGGTTCACATCATATACTTAAAGCCTAATTGGTTGGTTCTCTCCTGTAGGTTTAGTTAACCTGGAAAGTATAAATTTGTCATTTACTGTGGTTACGGATAATGGTTTAAGAAAGCTATCCGGATTGACATCTCTCAAGTCACTTAATCTAGATGCTCGCCAAATTACAGATACTGGTCTGGCGGCTCTTACAAGTAAGCATGCTTATAACTTATCCAACTTGAAAATGTACTGTGCTTTTGCGTATATATATTGTTCTCTAATCTAGAGATACATGTGAAATAAGGAGCTGTAATCTTTTCTATTTTTTGCTTGGCTCTTCAGAATTTATTTTCTTTTCTCGAGTTGTATGGTTATGCTGTTTGCTAGATGCATATTTCCTTGGTAGTTCAAGACTTCCAAATTGTGCAATAAAAAGGTTGTAATGGAGTAGCAAAAAGTTCATAACCATTGTTCTTACATATTCCTACCATGGATTCTAGAGGCACAGAGCCCAGTCTTAGATTTGCGTGCTCAAGAATCTGACAATTGGCAGTTCCAGTTTTCAATGCAACTCACACGTAGGAAGTCTAATCAGAATAAGTTTGATACCTTGTGGAAAAGAAAGCACTCTCTGTGGTCACTTTTGTAATTGAAAATTTTGAACTGAGTTCAAGCCTCAGCCAACGAAAGCTCAAATGCTAATGGATAGTCTCAGTGGCTCATTCTATTTTCAAGTCATTGTTTTCCACTTGGATGGCACCTGGTATATGCTGCATATTTTTACCTAGATAGTGTGTAGTGATGTAATGGAATTCTTGAGTTTTTTTTTTGGGTCCATATTTTGTATATACTTTGAATTCTATTTTTAAGTCATTTTATCCACTTAGATAGCACTTGGTGCTATGGTGCATATTTTTACCTAGTGTGTAGTGATGTACTAGAATTCTTTTGAGAATTTTTGGGGTACATATTTTACATATATTCTATAAGTGTATGTGAATGAATACTTCAAATTTCACTGTTCATAAAAATTTCAAATTTCACTGCATTTGCTGTTGCAGATTTGACTGGGTTGACCCATCTGGATCTTTTTGGGGCTCGAATTACAGACTTTGGAACGAACTGTTTGCGCTGTAAGTTAGACTAACTAATCTACTATTTCGTTTATTCGTGGATGTAAATGAATCCTTGCAATGCCTATCAAAAAGTTATAAGAGGGAAAGAAGGAAATTATTACCTGTTTTCATGCATGTGATTGGAATCCCCAGTTTTTGTACTTCCTAGTATACAAATGTTTCATAAGAAAACTATACTGTTCTAGTTTTTGCTTAAGGTCATACCCGTCTGCATGCACAAAAATAAATGGCATTAACATTACTAGTCTAATAGTCTTCAGAATTGTTAGCAGGCTTTTGGTTGGGAAAATATTATGAGAGCAAAGTAGTGCCTGCATTTTCAGGCTTTCTTGATGCATGCTAATAGTTGACAGAAGCAGGGCCATATGCTGATTTTCTTATCATTTACATGTTTATCTTATTCACTTGAATATTTACTTATCATCATCTTTCATATGGGTTAGTATTGAACAAACTGTTAAGGTGAGAATTTTTATTATTTATTTACTGAGAGAGTCAATCTTGGGATGCGTATGAAGCCCCTTTTCTATTATATATTGAGAGTAATAAACTTCATATATACCCATGGTTAGAAAGCAACATATAAAATAAAAATACTTTCTTCAGTACAAAATTACAAATATAATAAAATAAGCTCCAATGGAGAAATTATACTCAATTTCTATGTACCTTTAATTCTGATTCAATGGTTGAGGCATTCCTTATATTATGGCTAACGAGGCTGAGGTGCACTGGGAAGTTTCACTGGTTGATATAGCCGAGTCATCTAACATCAAGAATCAATTCAATATTAAATGAAATCAAATCATGAAAACACTGATATATGTGTATCAGTATATCTCGTCAATTAAACCATTGGGTTCTTTGAATTATTCACCTTGAATAATTGTTTTTGTGCTTTATCAGATTTCAAGAACCTCCGCTCCCTAGAGATATGTGGTGGAGGGTTAACTGATGTTGGTGTGAAGAATATCAAGGATCTTACTTCCTTGGCACTACTAAATTTGTCACAAAACTGCAACCTCACAGACAAAACCTTGGAATTGATTTCAGGTATGCTCACTTTCATGAAGCTGAAGAATTGTTCTTTATTTATATTCGTTTAAAATTTACAGAGGACATCAGGGTAGGAGTTCCCATCGTATTTATGCAGTACATGTGGAACAATTCAATTGGTAGGTCGAGCTGGGAGTTTCCTCTGCCAAATACTTGACTGGCTAATTGCTGTGATCTATGGCATGTTTTTATGACTTGGGATATGTAGTCAATCCAGACGGTGTATGTGCATATGGATCACTTCCTTCGTCCAATTGCTTGCTTTTGGACCAAAAAATGTACATAGAATCCATGAAACTGAGATTTGAGAGGGACGGATCCCCTTAAATTATATGGGGTCGGCTGCATTCTGCCATTCCGTCTGTCCAATGCCATATGCATGGGCCCTTGTTCTTAACTTGTCACTAGTGCTGCATCTCAAGTTTATTACATGTTTCTAATTCTAGCATCGTGTAAAATACAGGACTGACTGCGTTGGTCTCCCTTAATGTTTCAAATTCACGTATAACCAATGCGGGATTGCAGCATTTGAGGCCTTTAAAGAACTTAAGGTCGCTGTCTCTGGAATCATGCAAGGTCACAGCTAGTGAAATGAAGAAGCTTCAGACAATTTTCCTCCCTAATCTTATAAGTGTTCGACCTGAGTAGTTCTCAATTAAGCATGAGAGGATGCTATGTAAATATCCTTACAACAATTGGTGAACAACCATGTACATGGTGTAAATATTTCTCAAGTGTGGGGAAAGCAAGAATCTGCCATATGTGAAGCTTTCTTGCAAGCAATGAACCAGAAAGTGTAAATATACTTCCTTGGCATGATCTACAGGTGCGCTTCTCTGGAGCTATGGGAATTGTATATATGGTTTATTTGGGTTGCACCGTTCAACCTGCTTTTGCTTCACATGGTTTTTGTGTTTATGTGGCTGTTTTTTTCTTCAGCTAATTCATGGTTTATGGACTTGAATCGGATATTACGCTTCTGAACCTGTAAAGTGGTGTTATTCCGATTTCCGAGTGTGGAACACCTATGTAATGTGGAAGTTGGAACATTAATGATTTTGGGCCGTTACTAGGGGTATCCTTGAAATGTTCATACGAGAACTGTAAATGGATTGATTACTAGGCGTTGGGAATACAGACCTGGGTCATCTCACTTGGCTATTGGCAAGAAACGAGGATTGGATTAGGGCCTTGTCTAGGACACTGGATTTCATTTTCCTCCTCAGAGATGGTATAAACCCTCTTATGGGGTCGTGGTAGCTATTGAGAATTTCACTAGTTACATTTTTTCTTTCTTGGGTATTACATAATACACATTGGACTCTGGTGGGGTGCATGTGAATAAGGGTGTCGATGGACGAATTAATTTGGATGGATTGGACGGACCAACAAGATATATTAGATTGGACCAATCTGGTCCAAAATATTTATTAGATTGGATTGGACCTGGTCCATCTGTAACAAATTTATATTGGATTTGGGTTGGATTAAGTCAATACTTGGTCCGTTGATACAAGATAAGAATACATGTCAATGGACTGGGTTTGGGTTAAAACCAATCTAAATCAAAATGAATTTAAACAGATTTGATGGTTCAGACATTGAATTGGACCATTCCAAATTGGTCCAAAACATTCATTGGATTAGATTGGACCTGGGCCATTTATAATGGACTCACATGGACTTGAACGGATTGGACCAAATCCAGTCCAATTGACACCCCTAAATGTGAAATCCACTGGCTATCGTCACTGAGAATTTGCAGTTCTGCAGTGGTTGATCCTGTGCCTCCTATCTTGAAGTGATGCCAAGTGACAAGCTCAGCTATTGGATCATTGGCTAGTTGCATAATTACTACTATGATTTTGGTGTATTAAGATGGGTAATATTTGGCCTAAATTGACTGATTGGATACTTGGATCCAAGGTATAAATTATTGGAAAGGCAGTTTTAAGATACTGCCCTACATATACTTAAAAAGCCATTGAATGAAGGATTGCATATGATAGGATGGGAGTTTATAACACTAAATTTAAGACTAAACATTTAGAACACATTTAAATGATCTGTGTGAAGTGAGGATATGTATGGCCAACATAAATGTTTAATTTTATGCTTATGAGGGTACGTATCCTATTAATTCCATTCTACCTCTTATGGTATATGTTTTCAATTCAATGGGTGTGTGAAAACATGAAAATCCTTTTCTGTTTATACCATGGAATGATGTGGTAAAAACCAACTACCAATCAGAGGCCACGGTATGGCACCTAGGGGCATAATGATCAATTTATTTTACTTCAGAAGATGATCTAGTCCCCTCACCAGACCCAGACATGGCGTGCAGCACTCCCTTCAACCCAAGCTGATTTTCTGACTTGACAAAAGTCACCTCATCCTGAGAAATAAAGTCAATGGCATAGCTGAATCCAACACTTCACTCAGAAGAATGTATGTGACCGAACCAAGCTGATACATGCATACAAACTCATGGCACATGTTTGTCTAATCAATTTAGGAAGCGTAACACATTGATATACAGGTGGAGGCATGCTAGATGTCATGTACAAAGACAAGACCGTTGGATGCTACACGTGGCCAAGTTGATTGATTGTCAATGCAGACACATTGCCGACCATCTGCACATAACGTGTAAACTACAAATATGACAGTTGGATCGGGGCTCCAACAGCGTGTGAACGACATACTCGTATCCCTAGACGAGACTCCCGTCCTATAAATAGGTGAAGCCTCTTTCTTTTCAATGCTCCCACTCTTCACTCTATGTTCCAATACTTGGGCCAGGTTTGGGCTACTTAAGGGCTAGTCCCAATATCAACCCGTAAACTTTTGAATCCAAACCTAACCTATGTATTGCGGGCTGGGCCAATTGAATGGCCCCACCTAAGTTGTACCCTTAATTTTAAGAAAAGCGATTAGTGTTTTTTATGCCAGAAAATAAACAAAAAGATGTTTTTTTTTTTAATTCCTACTTAGTTGACTAAACTGAAACACAGGTAAATCATAGATTCTAAAAATCAATGCTATGCACCAAACAAATGAAGGGGAATTAAGAGAGTCACCATTCGCCAATACCCAAGAGCCCATACACAAAGTAAGGGATACATGAGTTAGACACCTTTAAGTCTCTAACCCCAAAACTTAAGCTATTAGGTTGTATGCCAATCATGTATATAAGTCTCTTGCCTCTCTTATAGGATTGTCAATGGATCGGGTTGGACATGATGCACTCGATGGAACCAAACTGATTGGGTTGGTTTGGATTCTAGGAACTATAGCAGATGGATCAGTTCTAATTCCTGTTATATTGTCCCGAATCTTATCAGTTTGGAACCGGTTCCACCTAATCCCAAACCAATTTAATATATATTAAATGTATAATATATTAAATAAATTATTATTTATATAATATTTTCAACAATCGGATCAAACCTGATTGTTTCAAGAACTGATCGGTTCAATTCTGGGTCTAAATTACAGACCATATCAAGTCCAATTCAGTTCCGGTTCCACCTGGACCCGACCCAGATCTGAGCCATTGACAACCTTACTCTCCTATCCGTTTGCAATGTGGGTCACCAACTATTCATACATAAATCCCAGCAATCCCTCCCAATGTGCGAGTCTCTTATCATTCACATCAACCACTCCCCCCAAATGGAAATCACTAAGACATCATCAAGCTTAACACACATCACAAGCATCTAACCAAGAGCCCTTGCTCAATACCATAGCAGGGAGCCCACACTTAAGTACCAGTTGCCAACACTCACCAATTACTCACCCATCTGAGCACACTCAGCCATGCGAGTCACCAATCACAATTGCAAAGCACTAACGCCCAACCCATGGGAAACGACAGATCCATGGGAGTCACCTTAAAACTTGAGTCCAGTTGAACAGTTAGCCCTAATACTACTTGTTGGGGGAGCCAAGGCCAGGAGTCACCAAAATCCGAGAGCTCAAACATACACACATAGGACTTAATACCAACTCTAACCCAAAAGCTTAATTAAACTTATTAGGTTATGGACCAATCTTGCATATTATCAAGTCTCTTGCCTCTCTTATCCCTTTCCAATGTAGAATATATATTCAAATGTGAAGCTCAACAATAAAGTGTCCTATTCATTTTTTTAATCAAATCCGAAAGACAAATAAAGAACAGCTTCTAAAAATCGCTATTTTGTAAAAAATAAAATGCCTCAATCACTTTTTAAAGCAAGTTGAACATCCTACGACCAGAAAAGTTAATAAACAACAGCTATTACAAAAAACATTCCAATGAAATAAAAAGAAATTATAGATGACTTATGGAGCATGAAACCAGAAATTCAAGAACATACTTTTGGTTTCAGCTTTGGAAACAAAGGACACATTGTCGGCATTCAAAATGTTTGTGCTGTGTCAAGATCTGGAGGCTGATGCAAGCTCTGCTAAGTATGGTTTTCAAAACTGGACCAGACTGGACGGTTGGACTGAAAAACGGGATCTGTTTTTCCCTCAAAACCGTTTTTTTCCCTAAAACCGTTGATTTTGGTCAGTAAATCGCTGAACCGGCTGGTTAACCATTTGAACCGTTCGAATGGTTTTGACCATTTTCCAATTTTTTTAAAATTTTTTTATTTTTTTGTTAGAATGGGCCAGCCGTTCGGGTCGAACAGTCGGACTGTTCGAACCGGCAATCGGACCCCTGACCGGTTCATTTTTAAAAACCATGCTTCTAAGATCTTCTGAGCTATATATAGAAGTTTCTATAAGAGGCAAGTTTCAGGCTGCCTGATGATACAATAGGGGTCCGGTCTTGTGTCAGGGAGAGGCATGAGAGTGAGAGTTATTTCCAAGGGTTTGTTTAGATAGCTTGGATCTCCTACTCACAAGAACCCTACCCAAGGCTCACTATAGCTGTACTTTGAGAATATCTCCTTTATTTGCATGTTACCATTCATGGAGAGATGTTTCCAATGTATAGCTGTGCTATAGTGTCATGTGGGTTGGAGATCTGAATTCTCAAACAAACAGTTCCCTTATTCTACCTTTAATGAATTGGGATCTGGTCCTCACGCCGACCTCACAGTCACATCCCACTAGGTATTGAGAACATCTACCATGAATAATAACATACAATTAAAGGAGATGTTCCCGATATGCGGCTGGAACATGTTGTGAGGTCCGTGTGACTTGCCTTTAATGTCATTAGGGGGGATATTTATAATCCCTTCAGAGGGGAGGGATCCCACTTATACTTATCAGATGTCAGCTGAACTCAGCTGCGTCATCATGAGTCATGAACCCCCCCCCCCCATTCCGTTGGATGAGTGGGGATCTGCTCCTCACACTAAATCACTCATACTTGTGTTTTATTATTCATGGGAGATGTTCCCAATACATGGTGGGATGTGTATGTTAGTGTATGGTGCGCTTTATGAGGGGCAAATAGAGCAAATCCCAATTTTAGTTGGATGCCTTAGATCTTATTTGGAACGTCGTATCAATGGTCCATGTGTCAATGCTATGGAAATTCCCTCTCCTCTGGTCCTGGTCCCTCCCATGCCTCATTAATGAAGCTTTATTAATGCAAGCCAACTAGCAATCCCTTGCAAACGTGGAGTCCACGTGCGATGGAAGATCCGCCTCCCCTTTCTCGAAACCTTACCCCTAGTGTAGCTAGGCCTTTACAAGTTTAGGAGTGCTTATTTGAAAAATAAGCGCTTATTGATAAGTTCTTAAAACAAGTGCTTAATCAAATAAGCACTTATTTGCGTTGGACACAGATTTTTCAAGTGAAAAATAAGCACTTATTTTATATTAGGTATTTAATGGTCTTTCTCTCCAATATAAGCACTTCTATATCTATATATTAAAATGCAATGTGCCAAGCTGGCACTATCCTACTTTATGTTTTATTCTTGAAGCCACTTTATCTCTTTTTAGGTTTCTTCTCAAAGGCACCTATCTTTTTTTCTGGTTTCTTTTTGAATTTTTTTAATTTTAAAATTGAACAAAATAATTCAAGTGACCAATTACCTTTAAGCTCTCTCTCTCCCTCTCCCTCTCTCTCTCTCTTTCTCTCTCTCTTCCATTAACTCTTTTAATAATCACCCCTCATTAATTATGCCATTAACTCTCTCATTCAATAACCATGCCACTAATTCCCTCTCATCCCCATTAAACTATAATTATCTGTAAAGATTAATTATATTGAAATTGAGATATTCAAGGATATATTATTTTCTAAATAATCTACTTCCATTTAAAATTACAATCCATTTATATTCCATTTGAAAAATAAAAAATGATTAATCATAATAAAAATTATTTAGTAAGTTAAATAAAATAAAAATTATTATTAATTATTGTTATGATAAAAATACTTTTATTAATATAATAAAAAGTTTAGTTAATAAAAGGAATAAGATAAATTAAAAATAAATATCAATTTAAAGTTAATATAAAAATATACATAACCCCAAAAATTAATACTTGAATTGAACATAGATGGACACCATTTAATTGGAAATGTCATAGTGCTCCATCTTCAATTTTGCTAATAAATAAAGCCCACGAATCGCATTCATTTAAAAAATAATAATTGAGTTGAACTTAGATGGACACCATTTAATTGGAAATGTCATAGAGCTCCATCTTCAATTTTGTTGATAAGTAAAGCCCATGCATCAAGGTTCTAACTAGTATTCATTTAAAAAGAAAACTTTAACCCTCATTTTGAGAGTGCCACATATACAATGATTTAACAAATTTTTAAACAATAAATCAATCACATTATATGCCATTAAAATGAGAATTTTAATTAGGAAAAATTCTCGATGTTTACCCTACACTTTGGGCCTACTGCCACTTTGGTCACCAAACTTTAAAATGCGACAATTCAGCACCCGAACTTTCAAAACGTGTTAATCCACTAACTATCGTTAACCAGCCCATTAACTAGTTGTTAAGTGGCATTTGAAAAGACAAAAATGCCTTTTGAGTGTCATCTAATTCTCTTTATCAACCATTCAAATGTTGATAAAAAATGAACAAATGTCATTAAGCAGCATTTGAAAAGACACAAATGTCTTTCGAGTGTCATCTAATTCTTGACAAAAAATGAACAGTCCCAAATCCTTGCCTCTTCTATTCAAGAAAGTTGGAGTCACCAGAATGCCCATTGAGACGTGACCCCAACTTTCTTGAATAGAAGAGGCAAGGATTTGGAACTGTTCATTTTTTGTCAATGTTTGGATGGTCGATAAAGAAAATTAGATGACACCCGAAAGACATTTGTGTCTTTTCAAATGTCACTTAACGGCTGGTTAACAGGGTACTAGATTGACATGTTTTGAAAGTTCGTGTATTGAATTGTCGCATTTTAAAGTTCAGGAACCAAAGTGGCACTAGGCCCAAGGTACAAGGTACTAATTGGGAATTTTCCCTTTTAATTAATGGGAGTGACAAAACCGGTGTACTATGAGTTTCTTTCCCTCTTCTATTTAATTTTTTTACTGTTTCTTTCCCCTCTTCATTACTACTAAGGCTGCAACTTGGGCCGGTTTGGCCCAAACCAAACCCAAAAAAGTCGGGCTGAGTTGGGTCGGGTTGATGCTCGGGTTAGGATTAGGATTGAAATTTATGAACCCGACTTTACTTTGGGTTGGGTTAGGGTTGACCCCTTGGGCAACCCGAACCCAACTCTATAGTACATATCATATATAAATATATGTTATATGTGTGATATATCATACATTAACTTGTTTAGATGCATGATAGTTGTATAGCCCCCACCACATACTATCATTTATTTCTTTTAAGATAATCACTTCACTTATTCCTAATTGGAAATACTAAAACCTTAATAACATATTTTATGTTTTTTGAATATTTTATTCTTTATCTCCTCTCTATTGTTTGCCACCCATAACTTGTTGTCCATAAAAGATCTATTATAAGTCATAACTCATAATAAACTATAGTCATTTCAAATACCTTTTTTTTTCAAATTTTGTACTTAAAGAATCAAGAAAAACATCAACAAACAAATACTAATTAAACATAGGATTAATATATGTAGTGAAACTTGAGTTAAGATCTGAGATTAAGAAGTTTGTATGAGATTTTAAGGGATGGGAAGAAGGTTGAGTTGGGCCCAACCCTAAGTTGACCTTGGGTTGGGTTAAGGTTGAAGGAATTTAGTTAGTGTTAGGATTAAGGTTGGGTTGGGTTAGGATTAGGGTTGGGGGTTTAAAACTTAGGGTTGGGCTAGGGTTGGCCTCAACCCGGCCTGACTTACAGCCCTACTTACTACTTGTTTTCTATTCATACTTTCTGTTTGTTATCCCTCCTATAATAATCACCGATCCAATTCTACACAAGTCATACATTATGAAAAAAAAAAAAAAAGCATACTTGCCAGGATTAATTTCCCATGGAATTGATATGTATTTCAGCCGATGACCCAGAGTAGCTGAGATGGTCACTTGGCATTAGGGGTGCAACTCAGGTTGGCCTGTGTTGGCATTTTACACTTATCTACCTTTTGCAGTTAAAACCATGAGATTCGACCATTCAACCTACAGTTGTGGGTTTGATCCTGTGCCTCCATAATCTGAGTGATGCTGAGTGACCAACTCAGCTACTGGGTCATTGCCTCGTCGGCTCACTTACAATAGATATAGGAGGTACAACTTAGACGGGGTGCGCCAGGTTTTAGCTTCACCCAAGCCCAATTCTAAGAATTGAGCTTAAAGTCTGAGCCCGGCCCAGGCCCAAGGTTAAGCCCAAATTATTCAACCTAAGCCCAGCCTACAGTAAAATTTGGTACATTCGGGTTAGGCTCAGGTTTGGGTTGGTCAATCAATCCAGCTGATTGATAAGGTCTCATGCTGATCATAGCAGAGACTTGAAATCGAATCCCGCTTGCACCTGCTATGGGTTGGGGGATGGACTACCCCCAAAATAATTAAAAAGCCAAGACTTTTGAGGCAGGCCCGGACAAAACATCTAAGCCCAACCTGTATAAAATTGTGGGCTAGATCGTCTGGGCTCAGGTTGGGCTGCCCAAGTTGCACCCTTAAAAAATATGGTTGTATAGTGCATTATTTCCCATCATTGATCACTTTTATCAACATAGAATCAATGTGGGCACATTAATGACGTTCTCTATACTATAGCCTATAGGGTTCAATTGAAGGATTTGCGCGATAACTTTTTTGGTAGGTGTCATGATGCTTTGGCCATCTTAGATTTGTGAATTGACACCTATTCCCATTCCTCAATCAGTGACTCCCCTTCGTCACAACTGAAATATGTAAATAACTGATTAACCAAGATATTTGATGTTTGTGGGTCTTCTTAATGGCTTGCAAAGATCCAGTAAAAATTCCTTAATTCCGGCAATTGGGGCCCATCGCATAAAGCTGGGGTAAACACTGAAAGGGCAGTTTAGCCCTCAAAAGAAGCTTTTATAATTGACAAGGCTTAAATTGTCGACATAAAATAAAAGTATAGAATATCATATAAGCACATGCTAAAACCGGACTGGACTGGATGGTCAGACCGGAAAAACCGGGAATCGGTTACCTGACGTTCCGTTTTCTTCCAAAACCGTTGATTTTGATCAGCAAACTATTTAATCGGCCGATTAACCATTCAAACCGTTTGAATGGTTTTGATCGTTTTCTAATTTTATTAATTTTTTTTTTTATTTTTTTGTCAGAATGGGCCAGCCATTCGGGTTGAATGGTCAGACCATTCAAATCGGTAACTGAACCCCTGACTGGTCAGCCACCGGTTCGTTTTTAAAAACTATGGTGAGAAGAAATTCTCAAACCGGTTCGTTTTTAAAAACTATGGTGAGAAGAAATTCTCAAACATCTCTCTCTCGGCTAATAAATTCAAAAAGGAATTAACGTTTTCCTTTCACTTCTAAAAAAACAAAGACCCAAGATTTATTTTCCCCTGGTTTCTTCGGGATTTTGGTGGTCTTCTATTTGACACAGAAAGTAGCATATTCTCCAGTGCTTATCGGTTAAACCAAGTGTTGGTTCCATTAGTTCACCACGTTACAAGTCAGTCTTTAGTGTTGTCAATCAATAATTGAACTGAGATAGATGATATTCCACCAAATTCTAGGGTTGCTGAAATGTCTCGCAGTTGGGATAATATTCTCTCCCCTATCGACTCGACTGGAGGAGTAGCGCAACTTTACCTCTGTGCGACAAGTTGCAAGGACAGAATTTCTGTGCCACAACATTACATCACTGGGCTGGCTAGAGGATACAAGTAACATGAAACGACTTCCTTGGGGAATCCTCCCTGGGTCGGGTGGATAATTATATTGATAGCACACTCTACGTCCCACCTGTCTCTTATCTGAATCTCAAGATGCCTATCAAGCTTCATTGGTGCGTATTCGAAGGGCGTGACATAATGCTGAATTTTGAAATTGCATGGCTGACATCTTCATAAAATATAAGGTTTTTTACTGTTCAATTCACCCGAAATCTTAACTCCACGGTACAGTTGGGGTAAGTGCCACCGCGAGTATGATTGCTACAAGTGAAGATGTTTATAATTTTGAATTGTTATAGGTTTGCAGTTGAATTCAGAATTTTGAGGTGGAATGCATCAACTTATCCCTAAAATATATATCCAGGTAAGTACATTCACCTGATGTTCTTTTATTTCCCAGCTAAATAAACCAATGATCACTTTAAGCATATAAATCCATTATTAAAAGAAACATTTTTGTCCTATTCAAATATTGACAACTCTCCCTCGGATGGAAAAATTATTTACCCACCAGGAGATGGGTATCACTTATGCCTTACCCCCCCCCCCCCTCCTCCCCAACAACCATACACAGACACCCAAATATAGTCCACCAAGTCATGAACGAGATTGCGTTCAACAAGGGAATGAAAGTATGAAACCCCCAAAATGTAGGGCGAGAAATGTACCCAAAGGAGGATCATATGAGATGTACAATACAATAGCGTCTGAAACACTAATAAGTCGCAATGTTTCAAACTGCTCAACAAAAAAGAGACTAATCTTCAGAGGCATCTTTAACATAAATTAGTGCCCAGAAAAGGCTTCTTCCCCCCTCTAACCAAATGTGCACGGGGCTGAAGATTGCAAGTGATAAAAATTACAGAAAACTGAAAACATTGCAATTTGATTACATGAGACAGCACCACCATTCAAGCAGGCCTTTGATGTAAAAGAAAATTATAAATAAAGAAAAAATTAAAGGAAAGAAATGAACATTTTCAGGAAATTAAGAGACCGATTTTGCCATGATCCTACTTCGACATTTAGCTTACGCAAACCCCTTATCTTATATGTTGAGTCTATGCTTCTACCTATCCATCTTTGAGTAAATTATCCTGAACGTCAAACTGCACCAAACAAAAAGAAATAAACAAATGCATAAATAAATAGAAAACTGATTGTTTAACTGTATAAGCTAGGACAACAAGAAATTACCCACGGCAAATGCTTCAGGCAAATGAAGATGGAAAGAGCTTACCCAAAGTTGCAGTTAAAAAGATTAAGGGTCATCCAAGCTGTGCATATGAAAAGAACTTGTGCCCTGGAGCTTCCATCATCTCTGCTGTTGATCTGAACCTGAAGCCCCAACTGCACTTGCTGTGGGCATGCTGCTAGCTGACCCATTCTCAACAGGTGGTGGTATACCCCATTTCCCTTCGGATTCCAAGGGTTCAAAGACATGTACCCCACCGTCTGTTAGTCCCATTGCAAATTGGTTTGGTTCTGATGGATGGGCTGCGACCACAAGTGGATATACATTCGAGCTGCAGTACAGTACAAGAATTAGTTACAATGTCGTAGATGCAAGGAATTATAGTTGAACATGTAGTTTCAACATGATTTTCAAAATTTTTCTTTCGATTGGTATAACAAGGGGAGCATTGACAGAAAAGTACAAGGCATCCAGAGCACAGAGACCAATTAGATGTACTACTAGTACTTACCAAGAGAAAAATCAAGTTTCTTGGTACAAATGTAAACAGTATAGAAAAGCATCAAAGAAAACAAATCTTTAGGGATGCACCCCCCACTCCTCCCAAAAAAATAAAATAAAATCAGTGGCATTTCCCATATCCTACCAAAGTTTTATACATATTGGACGGACATTACGCATGCTATCTAGCTGAACTTGTTAGCAAGCTAATCAGCTCTTAAGCTTTACAGACAAAACTTGCGAAATTTTAAGGAAGCACATACCTGACATTGACTGGAAGATAAGCTGATGAGTTAATATGACATCGTAGTCGGAGATTTGCTGCACTAAATATGCACACAGTTGCATCCAAAAAGCTGGCATATACTAATTGGCTGTCACACGAGAATGTTGCATGGGAGATTGGGGCAGTAGTTGAAACCCACTGCAATGATCAAAATGAGGTGGCAAAAAAGTTGAGGACGCATCTTTCTGCAGCATATTCACAATTTTACACTGAGATGAATTTACCTGCTTGACAATCTCAAGTTTCATTGTTTCATATATTGCAAGTTGAGTCTCATGCACAACCAGGAAGTGTACTTGATCCTGGTGAAACTGCACTCGCGTGTCTGACAAGGCTGTTGGAGTTCTTCCTGATGGAATCTGCAAGAATCTGCTCTTCTGCTTTTCCCATCCTTCTGAGTTCCACACACACAGCTATTGCAAGAAACACCATCCGAAATTTAACCTCTAAATCATAAATTACAGTATCCATGATGGGATTGAAAAGAGCAACTAAATAGGAGGATTCTTTTACAACAGATGAAATTCATTCTATTGATTGACAATAAAATTAAAAAAGGGGAAATAAAAAGCATAGAAAACTCTACTTTATGTAGCTACTGCCGTAGTGCGTATAAGTGAAGGATAAGAAGTTAACCTGGGCATCTGCTCCAGATGAAACTAGAACATTCAATACATGAGAAAAGGCAAGACCAGTGATTCTTTTGGAGTGTCCTTTGAGCTTGCTTTTAACCTGAAATAATAATAGGGAAACCAGGCATTTTGGTTCTGATTCTTCACCAGTAATGGCTCAGACAGTTCCAGCACGAGTATCATACCTCATCTACTCGGACATTATATATCTGTATTGTGGAGTCATCCATGCCAATAGCAATTATATTGTTGTCTTGTGGATGGAAAGCAAGAAATGTTGCTGCAGGTGGTGGAGGCATGAATGTTGTCATCGTCTGCAGTCGTCCAACAGAAATTGAATAGAATCAATTAAATCCCAGCCAGCAAGTGAAGCCATAACCAAACAGATGATATTATTGCGTATAAATCACCTTAAAGGTCATCATATTGAACAAGGAAATCTTCCCTCCTGATGCAGACATAACATAAGAATCATTTTTGGACAAAGCAAAGCAGGGCACAGCATCTTCAGGATTAGTATCAGCAATGTCATTGGTCATTAGTATTCCACTTGTTGGTTGCCATAATTGAGGAGTCACACTGGCTGTAGCCTGCATAATGAAGCATCTATTATAATCTATTGTCCAACTTCAAGAGGGGATGAGGTTTACTTAAAAATATATCTCTTTCTCTATTTTGATAGATAATCGACATATGTCCTTTCTACCTTGCCACTTGTGTTGCGTTCATTTCTTTGCCATTTCCATAGTAGATGAATAGCATTTGATGCTAATGCCAAAATTGCAGTGCCTGAATTAGTGTAGATCAATCGTGATATCTGCGGCTATTAGCAAAAGAAACATGTAAGAATCTCATTTTCTTCAACTGACAATTTTGAGGTTTAGTAATTCAAAGAGGAGGCACTCAGTAACCCAAGTGCATGAGCCTTGGATCAAGAGACTGGTACTTCAGACTATTTCTTAATCATTTTTTGTTGATAAAGAAAATATGGAAGACTGGAATTATATCATTTATGAACTTATAGTTGGCCAAGAATGCAAAGCTTGGATTAGTGTACAGAGCTTCTAGGCAAATATTTTTTTTTATTATTGTTGTTGTTGCTATTGTATTTTTTTTTATCAGAAACAGAAATTTTATTAATAAAACAAAGTACAGCAATTACAGCCTCCTAGGGGAGGGATAAGCTCTTTTAACCCTTCCCAGGGAAAATAAACAAAAACAAGAGCAATTACAAGCAAGCCCACAATGAATGTGCCCTTCCCACCCCTTGTTGTTGTATTGTAGTCATCTATATGTACTACAATGTACTGTATTATATTAAGATGTCAAAAGGAGGGAACGAAGTGCCATGCACAGCAGAAAGTACATGGAAGAATCCTTCAAACAACATGAAGTGTCAACTACTTTATTGACCACAAATTGGGGGACAATAGTCTATTTCTTGGTAGGAAACCATGTAAAACATTCAAGGGAAGATGGGAAAGAAGAGAAATTGACAGTATAGGCCATATTCACAAATGCAAATAAGACTCCCCAAGAAACATGGTCAATTCATTGAAATATTGGAAATGTTAGAAATGGATGAAGACCATACCTTGTTTGTTCTCAGATTATCAGGAAGCCTCAATGATCGACACTGAACCTGTTCACTAATTTCAGTAAGCTTCCAAATCTTTGATTTGTCGCTGGCATCTTCAGTAATTCTAGGTTTAACATCTCCCAAGCTCCGTGCATCTCCATTCTAGCAAAATCAATTATAATGCCACATCAGAATTAGTTTTCAGAATATGTGAAGCATTGTGATTTATTTTATTGAAATAATGGTAATATAATAAATGGAAGTGTGAAATCAGTAATGCTTAGATAATGTAAATATGCTAGAAAAGGTAGATATTTATCACACACCATTCCAGTAATAGAAACGACAGGAGCACCTCTATCTGCATGTCCCGCAGCACTTGCAGCTGTAACAGCTGAAATCTGGCTAATTGTAGGCTGCTTAAATTAACATGAATTAGGCAGAGATCAATTTTCAACCAGAAATTAGACATCAAAAAAAGAAGTTACAAGCTAACCTTTGTTACAGTTTCAGATACAACTCTTGGGCCATCAAAAGAACGATTCTCAAATGTTCGTAATAACCGAAGTCCATCAGCATTAGCCAGAATCTTAATTCCATTGTCATTTGCAGAAACAGCCAATAGTGTACCCTCCTTGTTGAAGCGGATACGTGGGCTTGCCTTGATAATTGAAAGAGTTAATAGTCAGCAACTTGGACCATAATCCTTTTCATCACCATCTTTGATCTTAATGTAAATGAAAAAAAAAAGAAAGAAGGAAAAAAACACACAGAACAACTGTTCAAGAACTTACTGGTAGGCCTCCATCAGCATCAATAGTTGTCAAAAGGTTAACATTATCCATATCCCAAAATTTGATTGAAAATTCATCACCAGCAGCCAGATACCTGTTCCTGGTTGTATCAAATTGAACAACACCCATAGAACGTTTCCGGAATCCTTGGTAGGTCCTCTTCACAGCCCCCTCACTTTCATTCCATTCAACAATGTACGACTCCCCATCTTTACTAGTTCCACATGAAAATAGCCTGAAAATGTTCAGGGAAAAAGAACAGCTTTTAATGCTGATAAAATCAATGATTATGAAGATGGGAGCAGTAGACCTAGTAAATCAACCTTGTCCCATCAGCACTATAAGCCATTGTTGTGCACCAGTGACCTGGAGCATCATAATCTACCCTAGAACCCAGATTATCATATAGCCATGCTTTTATTTTTCCATCCAATGCTGTTGAAAAGATGAACTGTTACATTAAGGCAAAAGAAGAGAATGTTAGGACAAAAAACAGACTGATGCCAACAGCAGCCTTATGAAGAAAGAGGAAAAAAAAAAAGACTACACGCAAAGATAAATATATAACATAAAAAAGAAAGCAACAGCAATGAAGGGGAGTTGTTACCTGGATGTTTTCCTTGTAATGAGGACAGACAGAATAAACAGGAGCTTCATGACCTTCAAAAGTATACTGTTTTGCACCAGTAGCTGCATCCCACACCTAAAATTTGAAATTATTAGCATTAGGTTTTGGAGTTCCTCTACTTATCAGAAATTATCTCATATCAGGAGACAACCTTTATGGTCTTGTCATCACCACAAGTGATAACACACAGTTGTTTATTGGGGTGAGAAAATGCCAGATCATTTACACCACCAACATGAGCATCAATCTACAAAACAGAAATCAGTTGACGAGGAAACAACTCAATAGGACAAGAAAGATAATAAATCACTATATGGGGTAGAGCAGGTAATAACTAATACCTCCAAGTGCTGCCGTACATCATCACCACCATGATAAGAATATATTTGCACAATGTGCCTCGAGTATGCAACTCCTGTGTAATATGAGCTCAATGATGGAATTTAGCCCCTCATAAGTAAGAATTAGAAAGAATATTGCTAAACACACATGCAGTTGAAGAAGCCATATCCATGAGCTTACCAAACAAAGAACCATCAGGGCTCCATATTATGCGGTTAACAGATACAGAAGGATCTTTGACTAAAGCTGCCTGGGTTTCATGCAAAATTGGTTTACATGTTAGACAATCTGATGTTAGTAACCATGAAGTACAGCAATATAACCTATTAAAATAGCTTGCACTCTCCAAATGTAATTTATGTTTTATAACACAAGAAAGGAGAGCACACCTGAAGGGGCATTGAACATGCACCGAGATCCCAAACCTTGAAATTTCTAAAAGCCAACCTCTCTCTAGAACCAACTTCCCAGAGACCTATATCCCCAACATTGGTACCAACTATTTCACATGGAAATTGCAGGTCAATAGCAAGCTTAAATTTATAAATGTGCCAAATTTTATAAGAATAAATAATTCTGACAAGAAACGAAAGGATAAGAAATAATCAAAGTAGAAATTGAAAATAGCAATAATAAAGGATATCAGTGCAAAAGAAGCTCACCTAGAAGTAAAGTTTGTTGAACAGGATGAAAGTCCATGCTCATTGGGCATGATCCTTGAGTCAATGTTCGAGCAACAGTCTTGGGCAAGTCATCGGGTATATTGAAAGCCTGACTGTGACTCTGACCAGGATAAGTTACTGGCAATATATTAACAGGCAGGTTTACCTACACAAATTGTAAAGAGAGAATAAACTATGGTTATCCAAAAAAGGCAAATTTAAGAAAAAAAAAACAACAAAAAAAAAGAAAAGTTAAACTCAGCAATAATCAACCAACTTACCTCATCAGAAAGGCCGATTGGTCTTGTTCTTTTAGATACATGATCAGGATCCCCTGATGAATAATCGACAGCAGGGTTATTAGTTGGAGGAGTCCTAGGATGCTTCAAAATTGCAGCTGCAACAGATAGAGAAGAAAGAAAAAGATCAGCAGAACAATATTAGTTCAACTAAGCCATTTGGAGTCAGGTACATAGATCCTGTTCTGCCATTCCACTACTAGGACAACAGTGGTCCTATAAAATGGTGCAAAATAAACAACGCTATTTCCATAACATAATAAAGGCATTACTGGAGAACTGAGACTACTACCTGGATTTGTAGGAGCACCAAGGCCAATAGGTCCTCCGGAAACTGCTGGATGAGTAACAGTGGATGGATTTGACATCCAACCGGCAAGGGGAGTTGGAACTGGTGCTGGTGTAGGTTGAAAAGGCTGAACATGAAAATTCAAGCATAATGAGAATGTTAAACAGGATTTCTAGACAATAAGGTTGGGTGACCAATGAAAATAGATACGTTACCCACCGCATGTCCACCGAGTGGAGGAAACCCTCCAACTTTGGGTATAGATCCTAGCAGTGGATTATTTGCAGGTGAAGGGGCACGGGCACCATTCGGTTGTCCACAAGTATGATCAACAAAAAGGGTTTTTATATCTGGGTTGGGCCTTGGGTTTTTACAAAGTTGATGCTGCCAATTCAAGCTGCCAGATGTACACAAATCAATTTCTTCTTACTTAATAAATCAATTCTATCAGGAACATCAATGTATCAACTTTAGTTATCAAAACGTGATTAGGCTACTACCTATTATGGAACACATTTCACAATAGCACAATAACTTAAAGACGCAAGTCATTTTCTACATAACAATGTAAAATAGTCCTGGTTTTACAGATTAAAGCAACACACAACAGGCTTGGAAATTACCTTTGGTTAATAAGGGTCCTTAGCCTTGAGTTTTTTAGGCTAGGAAATTGCAATTTGTCACGGAATAAAGGATTGGCTTCAATAAGCTTCTTGAGCTCAACCAACATGATTGTTCTAGCAGACTTTGTATCTCCATACTTGGATAGCTGCTCATTTTCCCTGTAAAACCCATAGGATTACAAAATCTCGTTAACACAAATCTCACATGACCTAATTAAGGTGACAACTAGCAGAACAGCTCTGATAAAAGAAGTGCCTGAAATTCTCCAGTGTCAATAGCTGTGTGATTTCCTTGAATAGCTCCTCGTTAAAAGAAGCAAAAACCTTCAAATCCTTTACAAGAATATCTACAGCTTTGGCACGATCATGCCTGGAAAATGGAAAAGGAAGGATGACTTTTCATAACATTTGCATGACTAAAAAAAGCAAGTTTTTAAAAATTACAAGCTTACTTATCCAATGCCTCAAGATATTTCTGCTTCCTGATTTCAAAAAATATCTTCATTGAATACCGGTTATCGTCCACTTTGGTAAAACCCGAAAGATACCTCTCAACCTCATCCCAATTTCCATTGTGAACTTCGTCTTCAAAATACTTCATGTTAAAGAAGAACCCTGACTCCTGTTCAAGTCTATAAAAAAAAAAAAAAAAAAAAAAAAAAAAAAAAAAAAAAAAAAAAAAAAAAAAAAAAAAAACTGGATTACAAAAAAAAATCACAGAAGTTGACTTTTAAAAATGTCAAAAAAAGAAAAATATATGTATTAAAAATAAAAATAAAAATAAAAATCAAACCTACTTGTGAACGGTCTCCTTGAATTTCTCCTCGTCGAGGAACTGCAATATCAAAAAGACGAGCTCTCTACTGAGAGAGGACATCTCGATGGCCCGTTTGGGTCTCCAGACACTTCAAATTAACCGAAATCAAGCAAAACAAACACAGATCTTCTGCAAAAACCACAAACAGAGTCCGTTCTTAGAATTATCCAAATTAAAAGAAAAGAAAAAAGCATTGAGGCATCCACAATCGGACTAGGACCAGAAGGTTCAACTGATCTTCGACTGAACATGTAAAAACTCCTTCTTTTCCATTATACCATCAATCAAATTGAGAACCACCGAACTCAGCAGCTCAAAACCGTGAAACAGAGGTGAAAATTTAGGGTTTCCCACTATCAGCAAAACAAAAGCAGCTTTAAAGCATTGGAATCGAAGATGCAGAGAAAAAGGAGGAGGGAAATGGAAAAAAAAAGCGAGGTCAAGATAAAAGGAAAAGCCCGCTTTAAAGGTGAAGATTCGAGCAGAACGAGAGCTACCAGAAGCTTACCTCAACAAGGAAAAATTATAGATCGATGCAGACGAGCGACATAACACAGTAGAGAGAGGAAAGACGAACTCCGACAACTCTTCTTCTTCTACCTCTCTCTCCTCTCTCTCTCTCTCTCCAGTCCACACTTCTCTCTCTTTCCCAGAGGAGGAAAAAAAATACATGGACTTCAGGACTTGCAGGTAGAGCGAATTTATAGGGGAGAGAGAAGAGGCGACAGGAACAGAAGTATAAGCTGGTCTGCTTATCTTGTGTCAAGTCCGTGCAGTTATCAGCCATAATAAGTGCATTCACTTTTATAAGTACAGTGATAGAGTGGGTCACTCAGAACCGGCTACGTTTTCTCGACTTTATCGGCGCGGAATCTTGAGCAGACAGCTGTCCTTAGTTCATTAAAACAAGACTGAAAAGAGAGCGTGAGATAAGTATGAGTGTTAACTGTGAACTGGGAACGGAGAGGGAGAGAGAGGGAGAGAGAGAGAATATCGGGGAGAGAGAAAGACTGCAGTTACTCTCGTTTCTCCAATATCCCCGAAGAAACGACAAAAACCCGTTGGACTGATATTTTACCAATTTTGGTCAAATGTAACATACAAATTACGAGAACTGCCATTGTTTATTTATGGTACGGTACGAAAAGCATCACGTGATCCTGTCTTTCGTTTCGATAACGAGATAAGCTCTGATTAACAGGATAATTCCTGCGATATATCGACGCGAGAAGATCTGTCGGCACTCAAAAAATTACTGACAATAATTTAATTAATGAGTCCGAATTAAGGAAAGAAAATCGCTGTCCACAAAAAGTGCAGTAGTTTTTTTGGGCATTGCATGCACGGAAAGCAATTTTTTTGCTCAAAAAGATTAAAAAATCCACAACAACGTTAACCCACTTTGTAGGTCCCACCACTATAGTCTACAGTCAGTCTTTTCAATAGGGCCCACCTGAAAATCAACATGAGTGGTTGATCCCGGGACCGTCTGATGGAAGTTGAATAACATGACTATTATTTTTGGTGTGCGCCATTCTGAGATTGGTCAATGTAAGCTGTTTATTTTTCTAGGGACCGGGGTCCACAAAATGGTTTGTTGGGGAGATTGGGATCACCCTACACGTGGCAGCTTGCTGTAGGGATCTCTCAATTATGTATTCGATGAATTGACCGGTTAGGCTCCACGTTCAAGAGCAGTGCATAGATACCATAGAAGTAAAGAAAGTCTTAATTATTAAGTTAATTATGGTTTGATTAAGATGGGATTAAGGACTTTATAATTGCTTTTTGAGTTCTTCTTTCAATAGATTTTTGTGTGTATATCCCCTCAGGTAAAGTAATAATTTTCTATACGGAACGATGTAATTGAATTGGAATCTGCTCCTTGCACAGCGCACCTCACACCAACCTCACAGGACAATCTCTCCGTGTATAATAACAATACATAATAAGTACGTGAGATGTTCCTAGGTCGGTGAGGTGCGCTGGGGCTCATGTTATTGTGCTCCGGGAAGCTCATGCAGGAATCAGGTTCGTTGTTTGCAGTGGAGATGATAGTGCGGCACGGTGTGGGGACCACAGTCATCCGTGTGGTCCTTGTGACTATTCCACTGTCGCTATAAAGACTGACGTTTTCATTTTCCCTTCGCATCGTCAGTAGGGTGTTCGGATCTCCTGTCAATAAAAAAACGTTCCAGCACCCTAACAATTAGCAATGATCATTTCAGCCCTGCCTGGAAAGTTCAGACTTCGGCTGGGTGTTGTATTCAGGTCTATCTTGGCATTGAATTCGCACCAAATTCACAAATTTTAGGGTAGAGTCTGAGCCTAATGCTTCAAGTCCAATCTAAGCCTGGCTCAATTTAATGAATATGTTTCACGGCTTTGTGCCCATTTGGTAAGGGCTTTCAATACAGCGTCCTGGTCATGACTCATGATTCATGAAGTATTTGATTAAAAACCCAAAAGTTAAAAATAGACTTATATGAGCTGCAAAATAGACTTTTCTGGAAAAATTGTTGTCGATAACTTCTTGGAACTTTGGAAGCGTCTCTGTCAATCCAGCTCAATAGCGCTGAAACGTGAAACCCTCCCAAACGGTCTATTTCAGAGGTGTTGGCTTAAATAGGGAAAAACGGTTTGGATTTTGGGTCCAACCTGACCCATACCCGTGATGATGTGATCACTGAAGTTGATGGGTCTTCTCTTACTTTCTCCTTTTAGGGGAAGCAATGAAGCATGGTAAGCTTCTGTATCACACTTGATCCTGACCCATCCTTCTACGGTTATAATGGCTAGTGATGTAGCGCAATCAGGTTGCTCCCTTTGGGAGATGATCTGATTATCGGCAACGACGGGTTCGATGAACCTGCAAGAGATGAATCAGAGAACCCGGGGTTGTTTACCCGGTGGGGTTACTCCGATGATTAAGTTAGCACTTGGTTGCGAGTTGAAAATGATATTAGATTGTAAGAGAGTTAGAGAGCAGAGATTACACCCCTCTTCACCCCTGGGGGGTGAAGCCTTTATATACTGGAGTCCTTGCGGGTTCGGTGGAATAGTTCCGGAATTCTCGTTGTGACATGACCCGTTTCCGTGTTAGTTGGGGATAACGCTACCAACCGGTAAGGCTGACCATTTCTGCCTGAATTGGGGAATGGGGAGATAATACTAGCCGTTACAAGGTATGATCCCGTAAGACGCGGAGTACGGTGACGAGATCTCAGGGGTTGCCATGCAGTGGTCGGTCAGCATTGCCTGAGCTCGTGCTCTTTAGATCCGACCTGATATGAATGCCGAAGTGCTTTAGGACCGAGGTGGTCCTGATGTGACCTTGCACCGAGGTATACTCGTCCCGAGATGGACTTGTCTCGAGGTGGTCTAGTTATCCGAGCTCGATCCGTTGCGGACTTGGCGTGTCAGGCTGAGCTGTTGTCCTACTAGTTAGGTCGCTAGGTCGGCGCCTGTGCCAAGTCGCCCAATTCGGCGCTTGTGCTAGGTCGCCAGGTCGGGACACCATCAACTTGGCAAGTTGTTGCCTAAGTGGTTCCGGGTGTCACCTAGTTGTTCTGAGGTGCCACGTGTCATAATGTCATTGGAGGACCAAATCCACCCACATCATTTGCCCCCCACTCCCGAGCTGAAAGTAACTCGGCAAAGGGAGTAAATTTCACCTTTTGGCCCGGGATGAATAATTCGATGAGCTCATAAGCGTCGATTCAATTCCTTAGGCTCTGGGAGCGACTCGCAGTTCGCTCCTTGAATTTGATTTTGCCCATGCCGAAGAGGCGACTGGGTCTTAAGCGATGCCGAGGTCTTTTATTAGTTCGGCACTTTAGCCCTTAGGCTCTGGGAGCGACTCGTAGTCCACTCTCCTTGATTCTGATTTTGCCCATGCCAAAGAGGCGACTTGGTCTTAAGCGGTGCCGAGGTCTTTTATCAGTTCAACACTTTAGCCCTTAGGCTCTGGGAGCGACTCGCAGTTCGCTCCTTGAGTTTGATTTTTCCCATGCCGAAGAGGCGACTAGGTCTTAAGTGGTGCCGATGTCTTTTATCAGTTCGACACTTTAGCCCTTAGGCTCTGGGTCCACTCTCCTTGATTCTGCCCATGCCGAAGAGGCGACTAGGTCTTATGTGGTAAGGAGGTCTTCGCTAGTTCGGTATTTTAGTACTATGGTTGTACTGCATCAGCCTCGTGACTTCGGTCACCCACTCCTACAAGAAGCTACTTGGAGCTCGACCTACGGGGGCAGCACTACTGACTTTAGGTCGCCAGCTCGCACGGGAGCCTTGAAAGGCTTGACCAGCAAGGGCGTCCATGCAGTCTGTTGGCCGCCAACTCCTACGGAAACCACAGAGGGGACCTCGTGAAGAGGGGACCTCGTGAAGAGGACTGATGAGGCTTTATCCGAGTTGAAAAAAATTGGTAGAGTTGCTTAATCTGTTAGCTATCAACTTCCTGCATAGTCTTTGAGTTCATAAAAAGTAGAAACTATAAAGCGAGAGCTTTAGTTTTTAAAAAGTTAGAACTTAGCTTTCTGGAAGAAGAGGACTTAGCCTTTCAGAAGATGAGAACTTAGTTTTTTTGTAGTGTTTCTCAGATACGGCGCCAAATGATGTAGCGCAATCCGGTTGCTCCCTACGGGTGATGATCTGGCAACCGGCAACGACGGGCTCGATGAACCTACAAGAGATGAATCAGAGAACCCGGGATTGTTTATCCAGCGGGGTTGCTCCAATGCTTAAGTTAGCACTTGGTTGCGAGCTGAAAATGATATTAGATTGTGAGAGAGCAGAAAGCAGAGATTACGCCCCTCTTCACCCCCGGGGGGTGAAGCCTTTATATACTAGAGTCCGTGCGGGTTCGATGGAGTAGTTCCAGAATTCTCGCTGTGACAGGACCCGTTTCCGTGTTAGTTGGGGATAATGCTACCAACCGGTAAGGATGACCATTTCCGCCTGAATCGGGGAATGGGGAGATAATACTAGCCGTTACAAGGTATTATCCCGTAAGACGCGGAGTACGGTGACGAGATCCCCGGGGTTGCTATGCGGTGGTCGGTCAGCATTGCCTGAGCTCGTGCTCTTTAGATCCAACCTGATATGAATGCTGAAGTGCCTTGGGACCGAGGTGGTCCTGATGTGACCTTGCATCGAGGTATACTCGTCCCGAGGTAGACTTGTCCCGAGGTGGACTTGTCTCGAGGTGGTCTAGTTATCTGAGCTCGACCCGTTGCGGACTTGGTGTGTCAAGCTGAGCTGTTGTCCTACTAGTTAGGTCGCTAGGTCGGTGCCTGTGCCAGGTGCCAGGTCGGGACACCATCAACTTGGCAAGTTGTTGCCTGAGTGGTTCCGGGTGTCACCTAGTTGTTCTGAGGTGCCACGTGTCATAATGTCATTGGAGGGCCAAATCCGCCCATCATCATTTGCCCCTCATTCCCGAGCTGAAAGTAACTCGGTTAAGGGAGTAAATTTCTCCTTTTGGCCTGGGATGAATAATTCGATGAGCTCGTAAGCATCGATTCAATTCCTTAGGCTCTGGGAGCGATTCGCAGTTCGCTCCTTGATTTTGCCCATGCCAAAGAGGCGACTGGGTCTTAAGCGGTGCCGAGGTCTTTTATCAGTTCGGCACTTTAGCCCTTAGGCTTTGGGAGTGACTCATAGTCC